GTAAGGCCAGGAGCCGCTAGTAGCTTCTTGTTCCTTGTAGCGATGCCTTTGTTACTAGTAGCGTCTTGTTCCTAGTAGTAAGGCCAGGAGCTCCTAGTAGCGTCCTTGCTCCTAGTAGCGATGCCCTTGCTGCTAATTAATAGGGATGCCCTTGTTCAAAATGTTCTGTGAGTTCTATGTGTAGTGCTTGTAAATTTTGCAGGCATTGATACTGAAGGCTTTGAGTTGATCTGGCGCCCTGAAGAGCTTCGTGCAAAGGTCAGCGAAGTGCTTCGCCAGTTGACAGTTGCTTGAAAAGAGCGGGCGTACGCGATGCGAGCTGCAGAGAGCACGCTAGGATAAGACTTAGGACAGCTTAAAAGGATTTAAAGAATCAACACGCATTTCTTTTGAGCCTGTTTTGAGTCGTGAGCCCACGGACCTTTCCCCATTCCGGTGACCGACCCCTCCTTTCCATGCCCGACGCCCAGGACGAATGAGGCGAGCCCGTGCGGGGCTCGGCCGTCGGGCGATTGACACCTTTTTGGTGGGCCTGACCTGTTTTTGTTCCAGTGCGACCGCTGGGAAGGTGAATGAATTCATTAAAAAACCATAAGTTGCTTAACAAACATGATCTTGTTATGTTGCCTTTTCGGGCAGCATGTGGAAGATCGGATCCACATGTGATCCAAATGACCCTTGGCCAAGCCCTGTGGGAAACTCTTTCCAGGCGCATTTCGGTCAGGACGGTGTCGGGATCGGGATCGACGATCGTCATCGATGGCAGGTGCCGGGGCCGAAGATCGACGTGGGGAAATTGGCGATGGCGATTGCACCGCTGGCGGCGCACATCGATATTTCCTGCTGTGGCCTCGACCATTTTCTAGTGGAGAGTAGGAGAATGCTACTAGGAACAAGTGCATCGCTACTAGTAACAAGTGCCTTACTAGTAGTAACAATGTTTGCTATTAGACATAATAAGCTACTAGGAGAATGCTCCTATTCACGAAAAAGGATCCTTGCCCTTTATGGACAGCTTTAGGCACAACTTAAGGATTTTTCAACAAGTCACATGTTGTGCCTGCTGCTTTCGCTCACACTTTCTGCCAAGGCTTGGTCTTCTTCACGCTTGGTGTGAAGCCGGAGATCATTTCGGCCGTAGCGGGTGGTTCTCTGGGTATTCACGGCATGTGCTTTGGCAGAAAGTCTGCAGGCACATTCCTTTCCTTGACAAAGTGGGGATGCTTCAAGCACGTTGACATTTTTTTTGGTTGGACCTAGCTGTTGAAGTTCCACATCAGGAGCCCTGCAACCCTTCAATAAACTGTTGAATTTTCGAAAACAAAATTGTTGAAGCCCTATTGAACGAGGCAAGACCGGCTCATGCCTAATGATTGAAACTCTAGCTCTGCAAAAGACTCATGGGTCAACAAAACACCTTCTTTGCCTCCCAGGTGCCCTGTCTACATCGCCGATTGCTATGGCATCATCGGATGGGATAAGAAGGACGGGGCTCGACGGGGCTCGAAGGCTTGGACAAGGCCATCGCTAGGAAGTTGCAGGCCGCCATTAGAAACAAAGAAAAGACAGGTCTAATATAGTTTGCTTGTTTCAACAAGTCAAGATATTCCGTGTTTTAATCACCAAGAACAGCTGAACCCCACAAATGGATCTGGACAATATCGATATGCTTATATGCAAAAATGCTCCACCTCCACATCCATCCGTCTCCCTTTCGTCTCCTTTCATCTCCTTTTCTCCTCACAAAATCATTCTACGTCACCAGTTGGTGTTTGGCGGCGTTTAAGGCGAAGAAGAATGTGGAGATGATGGAGAAAGGAAGGGGATCTGAATATGGACTTCCTGGAGGACCGAGGGTTCTTCTTTCAAAACACGCCATGGTTGATTCTCGAACTTGGAGCTAGTAGAAGGGATGCTGTAGGAGATTTCCATGCTTAGAGAATAAGAGGAGATACTGTTGGAGCTTCCACAATGGAATTCCATTTACGATTTACCTCGACGACACAGTTTACTGGAACGATTTAGACCAAGCCACAACTGAAGCCGAAACGGACAGGGAGGATGGATACACCATGACTCACTGGATCAAAATATCCGTGAGGACAAGGTGGCGAGGGCGTTGTGGTTGTGGCCTTCAGAGGAAAGGAACATGCAGGCGCAGCCTTCCAACCTACTATCGATGACCTCCACCCTACTAGCGATGGCCTCCACCCCACTAGCGATGGCCTCCACCCTCAGAGCGATGGCCTCCACCCTAAGAGCGATGGCCTTCAACCTAAGAGTAATGGCCTCCAACTTAAGAGCAATGGCAATGGCCTCCAACCTATGCGCGGCGCGATGGCCTCCAACCTAAGAGCGATGGCCTCCAACCTAAGAGCGATGGCCTCCAACCTAAGAGTAATGGCCTCCAACTTAAGAGCAATGGCAATGGCCTCCAACCTATGCGCGGCGCGATGGCCTCCAACCTAAGAGCGATGGCCTCCAACCTAAGAGCGATGGCCTCCAATTTTCCGATTTTCCGATTGGCTCAGGCTCCGCAGCTTTCGCGGGGGATGCCTTGATCCCTGGAAAATCCCTAAAGCTCGATGGCTTCGAGATCTGTACCATTGGTAAGAGCAGCCTTGTGCTGCTGTATCTTCTCTTCCACACGTTGCAAGCGGTGTGGGGACATCTTGACACTGAGGCAGTGGGCCCAAAAGGTCGTCACCCGGGTGGTGGGGCGAACGTAATGCGTGGTGAGCTTGATCTGTTCAAGTTTGTGTATTCGAATGAGAAAGATGCGGAGCCAGCGCACTCTCTCTCGGATAGCAAATTGTCTAGCAGCCGTTTGGGACAACCATTCCCAGTCCGTGTACTTACGCTTGGGCTTGACACCTCCACTGTTGGTGGTCAAAACAAAATCAATGAGCACATACAGCCACGGGATGTGAACGACCGGAGCCTGTGCACTTTGGAAAGTTCTGGACCACTCGGCAACCCTTTCCCACCCTTGGCCGACAAACTTATCTGTAGCAGTCTGCGGTCGGTCTGGCAGGATGCCCAAAGTCACTTCTGTCAAAGGCAAAGGCGGGTTCTGAGGTGCATCAGGCGGTGGCTGTTCATCTTGGGTGCGTGTCATGGCCGCTTCACTGACCTGGATGATGGTCATGTGGATTTGATCCCGGAGCACGACTGCTGCCTCCAGATCAGCAACCGCTTGTTTCCACTTATGGAACACGTTATTTGGATGCATGGTGCTATGATGAGCACCATGATCGGCATTGTTGTTGCCGGTGAATATCCAGCGTTCTAACCAAGTGGCGTGATCAAGACATTGGTGGCTGGCCACTTTATGGACCTGCACAAAATCAGGAGTGGCAATACGTGCTAATGCCAACAGCGGTGCCCACAGGTCTTGATCCTGTTGCGGCGTGGAGTGTTCCCCGGGTGAGCACAGGCTTTTCGTGAGGTTATCGACAACTTGTGCATTATCACTCCAAATCCTGACTGGGCTTCCTTGTGCAATTGCAAAACGAATGGCACTAGTTGCCGCAAGTATTTCAGCTCGGCCGCTGGTTTGTTTCCAGCCTGGGACAATGCCTTGGGCAATGGGCCACCACTGATCAGTGTCTTCGGGATCAGCTGCAACGAGGCACCAACCTGCAACCCTTGTATACCTACACGTGGGTCTGCAGCATGTACCGTCGACAAACACATCAAGCGGCCGAAAAGGTGGCCAGTCGAAGTGGGAGGTCATGTCAGGTTGGCTGAGCAAAAGGGTACGCAGTTCTCGAACCGACTGTGGCAGGCCTATCCATCCGTGGTAAGTGAGGCATTTCGGCAAACCTCCTGCCCGTACCTGCTCTGTCAGCCATGGGTAAGGCCGATGTGCCTCGAAAACCGGGCATTCCCAGAAGCGATGGAACTGCGAATCGGCGGCGCCACAGAACTTACATGTAGTGGTGTGTGCCTTGGCATTATGCTTCTGTGTATCAGCCGTGAAAAAGGTACCATTCAAGGCGATGCGGAGGAGGCCAAGTCTAGCCGCACTTAACGAAGAGCTTTTCTCAAGTGTAAAATGGGCGCTAGCCCATTCGATCCCTTGAAATGACTTTCTGCGGGCGGCACATTGTTGGACATGCAATGGCCTCCAACCTATGCGCGGCGCGATGGCCTCCAACCTAAGAGCGATGGCCTCCAACCTAAGAGCGATGGCCTCCAACCTAAGAGTGATGGCCTCCAACTTCAGAGCAATGGCAATGGCCTCCAACCTATGCGCGGCGCGATGGCCTCCAACCTAAGAGCGATGGCCTCCAACCTAAGAGCGATGGCCTCCAACCTAAGAGTAATGGCCTCCAACTTCAGAGCAATGGCAATGGCCTCCAACCTATGCGCGGCGCGATGGGCCTCCAACCTAAGAGCATGAATTCGCACGGCCATGATTTCGCCACCTTGGTTGCTTTTTCTTCTCGGCAATGTCCCGCTCCCGTCCGGTCAACACTTCCGGTTGTACATGAGCTCGCTTCGCGGCAATGATCAGGTGGAGCGACTCACATGGTGGTGAAAGCCCATGGAAAGGCGCAGCAGAATCGCGCATCCGACCGAAAACCAGGAAGAGTTTGGAGCAGGTTGAAGGAAAACCGGATCGCAGTGGGAGCAAAGCTGAAATCTGTGGAGTTTCGTTGTCCAAAAAACCACAGGGGTCTCGCCGCTCTGGCATAAAGTGGCGCCACTATTTGAAGTGACTTAAAGTGGCATGAAGTGGCACTCAATGGTATCAAGAGGAGTATGGAAGAGAATAGAGAAGGGGAGTTGGAGCATGAGTTCAAGTCTGAGTATGAGTTGAGTAGGCAGAGGGACGACAAGAGAACCCAAGAAGCAGGGGCAGCAGCAGAAGTAAAAGAGAAGCGAAGAGAGGAGAAGAGGGGAGACGAGTAGGAGAGTAGGAGTAGAGAAGATAAGACTTAGGAGGAGGTAGAGGTAGGGCAGAGGAGAGAAGACCGATCATCACTACATCTCACTACATGTCATCAGCTGCTGTTTCTTGTTTGGAGTCATCGTCCTTTGGCTTCAAGATGGAGTCCCCGAGTCCCACTTGGAAGCGTTTCATCACCGTCTCGACACTCGGTCAACCTGCGGTCTTGTGATGATGGTGTGATGATTTGGTTTCTAGTAGCTTCTTGTTGCTACTAGTAAGGCACTTGTCACTAGTAGTTTCTTGTTCCTAGTAGCGATGCCAGGAGCCCCTAGTAGCATCCTTGCTCCTAAGTTTGGAAAGCCTTCAGCGACAACAGCTTCTCGACCATCTCTGCGAAAGACAGTCTGGCAAAAGTATGGTCAATGTTGTGCACTCGATATGAGACTCACTCGTCTCTTCGATGACACCGCTGCGACGATGATAGACCATGTTGCGCTCGCGATGATGCCGTGAAAGCAATGATGTGAACGTGATGCCGCGATGTTGATGCCAAGAATGTGGGGTGCAACAAACCAAATCGCAGAAACCATGGTGAACAAGTCATCCGGCTTGCAGCTTGCAAATAGCAACATGATAGAGCTACATACTAAGCAGAGAGTCTTTCCATGCACGCTCAGACATCTTACAAACAAAACAAAAGCAAAGTAAAACTTCAAACATTAGACAGACAGTTCAAAGCAGACCGTATCCCTTGCCAATGAAAACCAACACATGCCACTCAACGCCACTCCATGCCACTTCAAACAACATGAAGTGGCACTTTAGGGAAAAGGCCCGTGGAGCATCAGCACACCGGCAGAATTCGTCGCTCTATGCGTCTGGCAGGCGGAGCTTGAAGCTGCAGCAGACGGGGTGAGTTATGGTGGCTATGCCAAGGTGGGACCGAGTCAGACTCGTTTGCTCCTAGGTTGGAGGCCATTGCTAGTAGAAACACTAGGACGCTACTAGGGGCTCCTGGCATCGCTACTAGGAGCAAGGATGCTATTAGGAGGCCATTGCTAGTAGAAACAAGGAAAAGGAAGAAAGGTGTAATACACTTCCCGTCTGACGTCGACTCGTCCTCCATTCGCCTTATGGCCGGGAGAAAACCATGCATCACGATGTGCCATTGGTTGATCCATGAGCTCAATCTGAAGACCAATTTCGGTTGTGGCATTTGGTCCCTTCATGTCTATTAACTGTTCTTTCTTTCACGCAAGTCCACATTCTTTTTTCGGGTGTTCGACCTGTGGCCTTGTTCATAAATGGGACAACTTTGATGACAATTTGTAGAAAGCTGTCGGATTTTTCGAAGGAGCAAGGACGCGACTGTTTGTTGCTGTATCACCGCAGCCGTCATGAGGGTTCATGGTGGGTGCCCACCGGTTCACCCGGCGCAGCGGGGGCGGGTTCGTGTTTCGAGTGCCACAGAGGCTTGGCCAGGATGATTCTGTTTGGGTTTCCAGCTTGAAGCTAGAAGTTGAGACCACCATCGCTAGTAGAATGGAGGCCTTGGCTAGTAGGAGGCCACCAAGGCAGACAGCAACCGGTGGTTGGTGCAGAGGTTTTGGAGTTGAAGGAGAAACACTCTTTGAGTTGAGCAACCATTGTAAAGCCAGCTTTGGTTGGATTCTTGTGAAAGGCGTAGTGGCGTAGTGTGATAGGGGATTTGACAGGTGAAGGATGAGCAGTTGGCAGCAGGCTCTGGAGTCTTTGAGTCTTCCACAGAGAGAAGCGAGCCGCAGCTAGCTCCGTGGGCATGTGGCAGAAAGCTCAATGCATTGGTTTGGTCAATTCTTATTCAGTGGGTTTGTGGTGTAGCCGAGAAGTGAGCCACCCACTTACGCACACACACGTGTCGATATGACTATAGAACATCGGACTCCTGAAAGAATGGCCCAGCTGGGCGTTGATGCAAACCATGTCCCAAATCGATTCTCTATTCCAACCGCAATCTTCATGTTAAAAATCGAAACACGACGAGTTTTTGGTTTGTTGTTATCCGGTTGGAGGCTGTTGCCCTGGACTTGGCCAAAGGAAAGAAGAAGCCAAAGGACAGTCGCGCGGCAGGATCTCAGAGCAGATCGAATTCGAAAAAGAAAAGGCGGCTTCTCCCTTTGAATCAGAAAAGAACACCCAGAGGCGTCCGGAAAATTCAAGGTTGAGAGTGCAGCAGATTGATTCTTTATTTTCGATTTGGAGCCGCTTCTTGTCCCAGATGACTGGAGAATCCGCAAACAGGGTACTAAGTAGTACTCAGCAGACCTCAAGCATCACTTAGCCTGACTTGAAAAACGTGAATTTGATGATCTCTGAGGCTTAGTGGTCCTGAATGGCAATCAGCAGAAGAACTTGCGGACTGGCAGGGACGAGCTCCTTGGAGAAAGAGGGACAACGTCGCGATCAAATTGGGATCATGCATTCTGGCTGATGTGATGAACAGGAACACAAGTTCGGAGAAAGAGAGAGAATCACGTTGAACGAGAAGCTACTAGGGACTCCTGGCATCGCTACTAGGAGCAAGGACGCTACTGGGGACTCCTGGCCTTACTGCCTTACTACTAGGATGTTGAACACGATCTGGAACAGATTTTACCTCTGCATGTTGGACTCCAAGGCACATGATTATTTCTAATGAGATTGTTTGGGTCCACCCACCGGAAAATGAAACATGATTTTGGCACATGACGCATGGCACAGATGACGTTTGAGGTGTGATATGGCAGAGTGGATCTGTGATCACTGCGACACTGCAATGCCTGGCTTTTACCAACGCTGCAGTCCCTTGTTTGACAGGTGAGGCAAAGGGAGGTATCAGCTACTAGGAAGAAGTGCATCGCTAGTAGTAACAAGTGCCTTACTAGTAGTAACATATCATCTACCATAGCTATATTAATCGAGGGTGGGGTGTGTGTATGGATTATTTTTTTTGGATTAATTTTTTTCTGACAGTCCAGAAGAGGTGGGTATCAACATTGACCAATTATTTTTCAAGCTGGATGACACCTTGTGACACCTTGCATTAATTTCTGCACAGAGGGTGTGACCACCTGGATTATTTTTATTAATTGAGGGTGGGTGGTACGGTGAGGTGGTCTAAGGTAGGTGATATGTAGTAACAATGTTAGCTATTAGAAACAAGTGCATCGCCTTCTAGTATTGGGCCGTTGTTCGTCGGACCGTCCGACGTCTTTCGAGACGTGGCGAAAACGCAAGAGGACCCGAAGGTGTGTGGGTTTTGCTCGTGTCGTTCAAGCGACTCAGTGGTCCTAGGAACAAGGACGCTACTAGGAACAATTGGCATCGCTACTAGGAGCAAGGACGCTACTAGCTACGCTCATTGGTCAGTATTTTTGACGTCTCCTTGCGCCATTTTGCATTTACTAGTAGCGTTCTTGCTCCTAGTAGTAAGGCCAGGAGCCCGTAGTAGCGTTCTTGTTCCTAGTAGCGATGCCCTTTGCTACTAGTAGGGTCCTTGTTCTTAAGCATTGCCCGGCCACTCCTTTGGAGTGAGGAGGACGCAACTCGATACTGCAGACCTCTCCCGCAAGCGTTGGAGGGTGCTAGCCTGGCTAGCCCTCTAACACCAACACGCTGGCCCGCAAGGAGTAAGGAGAAAACCTTACAGATGAGTCCTCATAACCTTGTTCAGCCTTCCATATTTGCATATATTTGCAACATCGCCAACCTTGGTGTGTTATTTTTCAGTCTAGATTTGACATGTAGGAAGACAGGATCAATTGTCATGCATTCTGCTGAGGCAAATGCGAGATTTTGCGTCCTGAGCAGCGAGCCACCCGCCAAGAGCTTCTTGGAGCGCTTTGTGTTTTCAAGACCCCCTCAATTTGCACTTAGCGCCTGTTCGTTGTCAAACACCCTGTGGCCTCGGCTTCTGAGGCTTCGGGCCAAGGAGGGTGAAATTGGAAAAGGCGGTGGATGGAAGGAGCGGAATGAGAAGGAGGACAAGCGGGTGGCTTGGACAAAGGGCATCGCTACTAGGTGGAGGCCATTACTAGAAACAAGGATGCTACTAGGGGCTCCTGGCCTTACTACTAGGAGCAAGAACGCTACTAGGAACAAGGACGCTACTAGTAGCCAGGATTCGAACGCCGAATCTTCAATCAATCTTTTGGATTTCCGATGAGTCGAAGGACCAGATGCAGAACTAGCGGAAAAATTGGCCGAAGTGGGTGTGTTCTATTTATTCCTTCTGCAATTGTCAGACGTCATCCTGCAACAGTAAGGAATGGAACAGTGAGAGTGAGGAGTACGACGATTTCGGAAGAAAAAAGAAACGCTTCTTGGCATGTTCTTCCGCCTAAGTCGGGGATGGTGTGGCACTCTTGCGACACCACCTGATGCCACCTGTTCTGTTTGGTTGGTGTAGGTTTGCACTTCCCCTTAAGAATCCTTGCAATGAATTCTATGGGCTGTGTGTATTCAAAAGAAATTTAATGGGTAGGTCTTGCTGGTCTTGGTGGTCTTGGTCTGTCTTCCGAATGGAACCCAGCAATGTTCGGTTTTCCTATAAAGCTCCACACCCAGGCCGCCTAGGCCTTGACGCCGAGTGACCCACCTTCCTTGTGAAATGCACACTCCAAAGACCCCAGGCCGAGTGGCGCAGCCTGTGGCGTCCGAGCTCAAAGGTGAGCGACAAAAAAGCATTTCTCATAGTGATGGACTCCAAACCTAGCATCTCGGTCTACCTCGGTCCTCTCATTTTGTCTGGTTGAAATCGGGTCGTGGTGGATGGGTCGTTCTTTTTGCATCCAAGCTCTTTAGTGACATTTCTGAATATTCAAGCTTCCTCTTTTGGTAGAATTGGACCCCATCAGTGTATGCCAAGATAGAGAAAAACAGATGTGATGATGTGACCCTTTTGATGTCACACCAGTTTGTGGTGCCAAAGCAAATTTTTGTTTCTTGGGCATCATTGCAGACCGGCAACAAGCTGCTCTTCAACGTCTACATCAACGCAAGCGCTGAGGACAGCTGAAGAGATTGCAGGTTGAGCATTTCAGTTTACTGTGCTAGCTTGCATGCCTCACCCACAAGACACGGAAACACTGGAGGGTGATTTTCGCAAACACGACACGTCACTCAGCACTCCGTCCATCGCTTGCTCCATATTCGCCTGAGGAATAGAGTAATACTATAGCGTTCTTGTTCCTAGTAGTAAGGCCAGGAGCCCCTAGTAGCGTCCTTGCTCCTAGTAACGATGCCCTTTGTTACTAGTAGCTTCTTTGCTCCTAGTAGCGATGCCAGGAGCCCCTGGTAGCGTCTACGTAGATCACGCGGCGTCGCACTTTTCGCAGAGAGTGCGGTGTTGGCAGGAGATCACGTACAACTAGCTGCCGCGCCTATGCATCTGTTCGGAGTACCTTGGCGTGGCGAAGCTCAGGGAGAAACAAAGAGGACATATCAGGTTTTGCTGAAACGAAAAGCCAAGAGAACGGTAAATCATGGAACAGCGCGTGTACAGCGGAACAACTTCATTGCTTTGAGCTTGTCATTTAGGCTGCAATCACAGTTCTGAGGTGTCCATTTGCAACAACTGGGTCAATGTTTGATCAACGCACCTCTTCCATGGTTCTCGGGGCAAAGGGGTGGGCCCAGCCCCACCCCAGCTGGCTGTGTGTTTGGCGGGTGTTTGTCGGGAAAGCGTGTTCGTCCTGCCCTGTCCAACTCATCAAGTCTTCGAACCTGCAAACAGCGCTTCTTGTTACGTTCGTAGCTATTTGCTCCTGGTAGTAACGCCAGGAGCCCCTAGTAGCGTCCTTGCTCCTAGTAGCGATGCCCTTTGCTGCTAGTAGCTTCTTGTTACTCCTTGTTTCCGGGACCTGCACAGGTTTCTCGTGGAACAACTCACACGTGAAGTCATTCGAAACAAAGTTTGTGGGTGCCAAAAGCATCGAAAAAGCTGAAGAGTGAGTAAGATGTGCACGTCTGCACGTATAGATTTGCCGGCAGTTTGTATTGCTTATGATTGGGATGTGAATGCTTGCTTTTGTGGATTGGTACCAGGAAGGCTTATTGATTCTTTGAGCTTGTAATTCTTGCGAAAAGTACATCTCAGCTGATTCATGTACAGTATATACGCGCCATGGGTTGTGATGATGGCATTTGTGGTAATATTTACAAGAATGTGTAACAAGAAGCTACTAGTAGCAAAGGGCATCGCTACTAGGAGCAAGGACGCTACTAGTCCTGGCCTTACTACCAGTTAAGTTTCCCCCAAATCTAGGAACCAAATCATTCGTGCGAGCGCTTCTTCAACCGAGCTATCCTGCGTCCTGTCGGTAGTAGCTACTTAAGCTACTAGCTACGTCTCCCTCCTAGCGGCCTACCCCCCTCTCTAGCGCTTCTTGTTACGTGCGTAGCGTTCTTGCTCCTAGTAGTAAGGCCAGGAGCCCCTAGTAGCGTCCTTGCTCCTAGTAGCGAGGCCCTTTGCTACTAGTAAGGAGTCCTGGAGGGCACACTTTCATTGCTGTTGTGGTGCAGAGGTGATCCAGAAGTTCGAGAAGACTTGCTGAAGGTTCTGCGGCATAGGCCGAGATTGGACCTAGAGGGAAAGGCATGATGATGTGTTCTTGACCTGGATTTGCTTGCGCTTCATTGATCTTCTTGTTTTTCCAGTGGCCCCATGTGAGCATTGTTTGCTGCCCAATGTTTGTTTGACACATGCCATAGCCCTCAACAACTGTGGACGACGATCTGCACGCGCCGAAAAGAACTCGCTCCAGCCAAGCAGTTTTGCAGCATGTTGCGATGCCACACAAGAGAGCTGTGTCAGATGTGAGAAATCAAGATCAAATCGATCGAATGTGTGGCTAAAGGGCTTGACCAAAAGGGGGGCCTTTGGGGGTGCTGTTCGTTCCTTTTTCTTGGCTGTCCATTTTCCATCTCAGCAAACCTTTTCAATGGTAACATCCCGTTCGGACCTCTGTGGTGTTTCCTCCGTTGGTGCTTCAGGCCCCTAGTAGCGTTCTTGTTACTACTAGTAATGCCAGGAGCCCCTAGTAGCGATGCCCTTTGCTCCTAGTGGCCAACATTGCTCCTAGGCCTGTTACAAGCTGGAGCATTCCGGTGACCTGGTGGAGGTGGACGACTTCGTCGCCCGGGACGCCCAGCGCCACGACCGAGTCAGTCCGGACGAGCGACGCGGGTGTCGACGAGGTGTCGTCCTCCACGGTGTCCTCCGTGGTGAGCTTTGACGGAGACGATGCTGGGGAGGCGTGTGTTTCTGGAATGAAGTGTTTGAGAGTTATCATATTTTAAAAGTTCTTCAGTCTGGAATCTGAATCAAGTTCTTCAGGTGGCTGCTGGCGCAACAAAAGAATTGCCTTCGAAGGCGAAAGCTGCAGGATATTTTCCCTGCTTTTGTGTGGTGGCCCAGTGTTCAAAGTCTTGCTAATTGCAACCTCAAATGAGACAGGAAAAGTACCCCCAAATGTCACTAGAAAACCGAGGCAGAGGCTACAACAAATACAATGCAGATGGAGTAGAGCCTGAAGCGTTTGCACGCTGGGTGCTCAGATTGGTTGGGTGCTATTAGGAAACCTGCCTCATTCGAATGAGCCACTTCTCTGCCAAGAAATGTTTTTTGTGAACAACATCCGAGGTGGAGGATTAGATGGTGCGACGGCCTGAGCTGGGGACGTTTTTGAAGAATCTCAAAACGAATCAGCCAAAGGCCAGGAGCCCCCAGTAGCGTCCTTGCTCCTAGTAGCCTTAGAAGTCCTGAGGTTCGAAATGTTTTTTCACGTTTCCAAGACTTCACTTAGACTCTAGACTTCGAAGACTAAGATTCCAGATTTACACTCTAGATTTCCTAGAAGAGTGTTCGAAAGCCATGAACTGTCCCAAGGTGCCTCTCTTCGGTATGTTTGCTCATGGCGAGCTTGGGCCTACCAAGGGAGTTCCTGTCGTGGTTGCCGATGAGGCTCAGACTTCGCACCGTGTCCAAGCCACTTCTTTCACATTGTGGGTATCGCACCGTATCATTCCCCGTATCAACACTTCACAGTTCTCGATTGATTCATCCAATTCATCCGCTCTCTTTCCTTTTGATTTTTTCCCTTTTCGCAATGTATCTTTGCTGGCTCAAAAAAGAAACCTATGTGTTCTTTTCGTAGGCACCTCAAGCAGAGCACGACGTGCACTCCATGACCTCCGTCTTGGCTCTCTACTCTTAAGGCCAGGCGAGAAGAGCTGTCACTCTGAGGGTGATCTATGCTCTATGTGGGGAGATATTGGGGAACCATCCTGATTTTAGCATGCAGACCAGCCAAACTTTCCTTTCTTTGGTTGGCTGTGTGGTGTTCTTACTCTTGCTGTGCATCCCACCCATCTTCCTTCCTTCCTTACTTCCTTCCTTCACTTGCACTCCTTTTTGTCTTTTGTGGCTCCTCCCCTTGCGTGTCCCTGCGCTTTGTTCGTTCCTGAGGTTAAGGGGATGGGAGGTTCCGCCGTCACTCACTGACCCAACATTCTGACGCAACCGCAAAGAATACTACTAGTAGCTTCTTGTTACTACTAGTAATGCCAGGAGCCCCTAGTAGCGTCCTTGCTCCTAGGAGCGATGCCCTTTGCTACTAGTAGCTTCTTGTTACTACTAGTAATGCCAGGAGCCCCTAGT